AGCTTGATTGTAACTGACTTGGAAGAGCCCTAAACCAAAATATGAGTACCATGGTTGGAAGCACTGCCTCATTATCTTAAGCCTAGGAAGAAAGCAGTAATAGAGCACAACAAAAGCTTCATACCAACTTCCTCCTTTGGGCTGAAACAAGTTCCCTGCTCTGAGCATGTACAATCAAACCAGGAAATCCTTGGCATTGGAGGACATGGAGGTTTCCCTGGAGTTGACTGTTCCATTTGGGGTTAGGCCCTCTCAGTATCAGCTTTTGTGTCCCATTCCACACTCTAGTTTGAAAAAGGATCTTAGGCTCCTGCTTATAAGGTTTAAGTCACTTAGCTCTAGCCCTGAATAAATAAAAGCAAGAGAATTTTACTTGAACCCACAGATGGGTTCATTTTGTTTTTCATAACCAGGTAAACTAGACTGTGTTATGTTATGGGGCCTGCTGAGGGTAGACTAGACTTCAGATTTACATCTCTCAGTTAAAAATTGCTTACCCTCCATAACCTATTCTGTATGCAAATATACTGTTGTCATTTCTCTGTATACATCAGGATGCATGCCCATTCACTCCGGACCCTAGGTTCTGTGGCTGGCCCAGCACCCATTTGGATCTTCTTGCTGACATAGATGAGGGCCACTCTTGGGAATTATATTTCCCTGCTCCATCATCTGGGGAGAGAGCTAGGGAGCTGAATGGCTTGAATGTCCTGTCCAGCATATTGTGATGTAAACTTTCTAATGGATTGCTAACCTTCTGAAGATTTGGGAATTGAAAGGCCTTAATGCTGGCTTGGAGACTTGGAAGCTTAAGTAGGAAATTGATGTCAGAGTGAGGAAGACAATTGCAGGTAACAGGTGCCATCCTTATTGGGTTAGTCTGTATGGTGAAGATGGCTTGAAGCAAAATTGGTGCAGAGATTCCTGCCTGGTTAAAAATTGGCATATGCACATACAGATTCATAGGCCAGGCTGTTTACTAGGGCAGAATGATTTGGGCCTTTGTGAAACATAGAATTGGTGGAGTGAAGCGTGAATCTTTCCCAGAACAACTTGCCAACAGTATAGGCTCCTGGAAGTGACATTTTGTTTTTTTTGGTATGAGTGCCCCAACTCCCTGCTGGTTTCTGAAGAGTGCTACAAGTCAAACTATAGTTTTGGAGAACCAGGAGCTGCTTGAGATGAGAAAGGAAAGGTGGGAATAGGGGCACCTGGAGTTGAGCTGTGACTGCCTGCTCCGTCCTGTCAGCCCACACTGAGGCCTCCGATGGTGTCTTGTTTCTCACATAGGAGAAATGGCTCTAAGGAAGATCCTACTGCAGGGGCTCGGGTTCAAGAATAAAGCTCCTGTACCTGGGCACAGCATTTCCCGCCATCAGTGGATACACCGGGCTTCCACTGCTGGCCTGAGGTTGGCTCTGCATGTCAGTGCCTCCCAAGGGGAGGATGCAGTAGTGAGCCCGACTGCGGGCTGGGCTGCATGTCCTGGCAGGCACTGTCCACACAAGCAGCGTGCGGAAGGGGAGCTTTTCCCAGAGGCAGGCCCTGAGAAACGGGCTGAGAGAGTCCAGAGGTGTTTTAGGCAGAACTCTAGGTGGTTGGTAGGATTGGCAGCTTGTGCTCCAGAGAAGAGATTAATGGAGGACCTTGGAGACAGGCAGGAGAGACCAGTAGGTGACCCAGGGATGAGACATAAGGTCACTGGTTTGGTAGAGGGCTTTCAGGGCATGCTGAGACCTTGTAGGAGTCTGGACAGACTTGCTGACAAGCAAGCTTTTTTTGATGGCTGGTGTGTATTTCCAGTCAAATACCAAACAAGTTTTTGTTATTTTTCTATTTAATAGCCCTGGTGAACAAAAGATCAGAGCTTGTAAACCTCGATTTAATTTGAGATGGTTAAAATAGAGTTAGCGTTTGAGCCCAATGTAATTGTATCTGCTAATGGCATTTCCTGGTCCTGGCGGCAGGCCTTCTGTACCAGAACATCCTTTTATCAAAGATTTTGCTGTGAAGCCTGAGGACAGACTAAACAGGAAAAGAAGTTTGCTGGATTTGGTTACGTAACAGGTTTTTGGCATTGAATTTTCCTATGAACTATTACTACTACTACTGCTACTATTATTATTATTATTTTGCTTTGCGGTTCTGAATGCATCAGATTGACCTTAAGCCACTGAAACTGCCCAGTTGTGACCTAGGGCCTAAGATGAGTTATCTTACCTGCCACATTTAAACAGAGTATCCCTGAAGTGCGTAAAGCAGCAATTGCTTAATAGAACTGGGAGATTCACATTCATTTTAATTTCAATACTTTTACCAGGGTGCTTGTAAATACCTTGTTTTTAGAAGAGGAATATTTAATTTTTCTTATTATAAAAGTATTTCTGTTAGTAAATTCATTAGTAAAGACAAGAAAAATTTTGCTGTACTCCTCTATCATCCAGACAACATGCTGTTAATATTTGGGTAGCTGTCCTTCTAGTCCTATGTATGTTTAATTTAGTGCCCCTTCCACCTGAAAAGGGGGAAGAATCAGGTTCTTGTATAGTAGTAAGAGATTTTACAGGGAAAGAAATCTTTGGGTGTTAGGGGGAGGGGATAAAGCATCATAGAGGGGACAGTAAGAACTCACATTTACCTGCAAATTTTCTGTTATCAGTTTCTTGGTATTTTTTTGGGAGGCTTTTGTTTTTCTTTGTAACATAGCTGAATCTCTAGAAACAACTACCACCTGGATACCTGGTTATTAAAGTAATTTTTCCATTACCCCAAAGAGCTTTAGTTATACTCAGCTTTCACCTTAATCCTTGTACAGCTCCGCAGGGAAAACCTTACTCAGATCCGAGCAGTCTTTGCAAGTGGGGCCAAGGAGCCACCCTGAGCCAAATAAAGAGCATTATGTCACCGGAAGCCCAAGCCCAGGGAATACAAGGTATGACCGATAATCAGTGGCCCCAGCCAGGTCTTAGCAAAGAGATTCTAATGTCTCAGATCTAGTGAATAGCCAGCTGATGCTTTTTAAGAAGAGTGGGGTTAGTTACTCCAACCCAGTCATTCAGACCTTATTTTGTTCATGACACAGTCTTCAGTCTGGATGGCTCTCCACTTGGAGGCCCCAGCAAGGCCTTTGTGTTCCAGTTGGCTCTGTGTGCCACCTGGTACTATTTCCTCAGTAATGTTCCCTTAACAGCCATACTTACCTAAGCCTGGCTGATGTTCTGAAGGCATGAAGCCCTGCTTCAACTGTGAGTGCAAGTACAGGGGGACCTTGGCTGCCCAGGCCATCCTGTCAGGAAATCGGAAGTTCCTCGGATTTGGCATGAAGGAATAGAGGTACAACTTTGATTTTGACAAAGAGGCATTATGACACATGAAAAGGTATTCAACAGACACTGGGATATGTCCAAGTGCTAAGAGGTACAGAACCAAATAGATCGTGGAGGAGAGCATTGGTGCTGATTTGAGGAACCTGGTAAGTATTAGGGAGTTAGGAAATATACATTGAAAGGAAGTGTGTTTGTCATGTGGAATAATTAGCCAGTATCTTATTTTTTATTTAAAAAGTTTTAGATTCCATAGTTGAGGGCTTAAGGTTTATTCACAACTGGTCACAAAGTTTCTTGGGCTTTTACTAGGCTTCTGGAAGATGGCAGAGGTGAGTTTAGTTGCATGCTATACCGGAGCCACCCCGAGAGGCCACAAAGTCAGGGATGGAAAAGAAGAAAGTGCTATATGTATGGGGGGTGGGGGTTGATTTGGAGCCCTGAGGTTGAGGAGGAGGTAGGACAGGGCTAAAGAGGGATTTGTTTGAGCCTAGGCTGAAGCATTTAGGCTTGAGTGTTTTAGAAGGAATAGCCCTTGGTCTGAGAACTTGAGGAAAGGGACAGCCTGTTGAGGAGTGTCAAGCTTCTGCTTGAATCCTTACTTGACAGTTCTTCAAAGCACTGGCCACAGCTTCTCACTTCTTTGTCTCAAATCAGCTGACTGGGTGAGAGTTTAGTTTAAATCAGTAATGAAGAAAAGCAAAGGTCAGGACAGTTGTCAGGATTGTAACCTGTGCTGGTTAATTACCTGGAACAAGTGGTCTTTGTTTCAGGGAGTGGTGTGCTTGTCAGATTTCAAACGGAAATGGGGATGGTGCATCAGAAAACCAGTTGGGGAAAAGGTTTGACAAGCACCTTTAATCTTTTCATGTTGCAAATATAGCTGTGATCATTTTAGAACTAAACCAGAGCCGTTGTGGTTATCCTTGGTTTTATGCAAATTGCTTTGCAATTCCTAAATTCCTTCTGGTAGATGTGCTTTTTAGGTATAGACTCCTGGGACAAAAGATTTTGCATTCAGGATTCTGGTGGGACTTTGCTTCGTGTCCAGGGACTTTTGTGTTTTGGGATTTTATAAAAAAACTTAAAAATATATTTTTATCTTTTTTTTTTTTTTTCAGAGAGAGGAAGGGAGAGGGAGAGAGATAGAAATATCGATGAGAGAGGATCATCGATTGGCTGCCTCCTGCACACCCCATACTGGGGATTGAGCCCGCCGCCACTGGCAACCTCATAATGCATGAGCCACACCAGCCAGGCCAGGCCCTGGTTTTTATTGCCCATCAGTGGGCTGGGACCTACTTGGGCCTAGGGTGAGTCAAAGAATGAATTTATGTGGTGCTTTGGGTGAGTGAAAACCTAGGACTCTGGAGCTAAGAGGACTGCCTAAGTGGTGGTTGTCTTCACAACCAGGAACGTCTCTTTGGGTTTGGATGAGGATTATTAAGAGGCAATGTGGATGCCCCACTCATAGCAGATGTTTGTAGCTTTGAGACAACTTTTCATACAAAGATGTAGATTTACGGGGGTTCTAAACTAGAAGTCAGTTGTTTATGTCACTGGAAGATGGTTACAGTTTTCTTTTGAGGAAGCTTCTTCACTGCATGTAAAATGATGTTTATAGGATTAACAGGAAAGCTATCAGGTAGAAACTAGGCCAATGTGAGGAAGGTCTGCTTACAGTGGATGCCTGGGTAATGCAAGCATTGGATACGAGATTTTAACTTGCTCAGGGTCCTGTGAGCCTTTGCCTGACTCGGAATACCCACATAGCCAGAGCATGCTGGGTTCCCTGTGGCTTGTGCACAAAGAGTGCTTATTCAGTTAATGTGTAAGCAGGAAATGGCTTCCTGTGCCAAGTGGTGTATAACAACCCAGGCTTCTCAGACTGATCATGCTCTTCAATTCCCCTGGACCCAGAACTTCAGAAGCCATGTCGAAGCCCCATAGCGATGTTGGGACTGCCTTCATTCAGACCCAGCAGCTGCATGCCGCCATGGCTGACACTTTCCTGGAGCACATGTGCCGCCTGGACATTGACTCGCCGCCCATCACGGCCCGGAACACTGGCATCATCTGTACCATCGGTGAGTGAGTGTGCCCCTCCCCTAAAACAAGGCTTCATGTGAAGGGGTCTTTTCTCTTCTGAAAAGTCTAAATATAGCAAACCTAGGTGCTGAGCAATATTGTACACAGATTCTTATGGGAACTCAGATCATAGGAAGTTGCAATAATTAGTATGCTTTGTTTTCTGCTAAAGGCAAAACTTAGAAGGCATCTTCCTTAGCATGTCTCTGTAGGAGCATCTCTGAGACCTAGGAAAGATCTTTCTGACATTCTCTGTGCAACCAAGATTCTGTGGTTGGACATCTGGCTGGGCTTTGAAGAGCAAAATATCAAGAGTTCTTTAAACCTAAGCAAGTTTCAAGTGTTAATCCTTTGAATAATTAGAATTATGTTTTTAAAATTTTGTTTACTAGGCCCTGCTTCCCGGTCTGTGGAAATATTGAAGGAGATGATTAAGTCTGGAATGAATGTGGCTCGTTTGAACTTCTCTCATGGAACTCATGAGGTGAGCCTCTGGTAGACAATTTGGCCACTGGGATGGCTTGTAGGAAACAGGGTGGGGATGCAGTGTTTGTTTGTTTGTTTATTTTTAAATGTATCTTTATTGTTGAAAGTATTACAAATCTCCCCCTTTCCCCCCGTTGATCCCCTCCACCCTGTGCCCTTCCCCCCAGGCCTTCACTCCACTATTGTCTGCATCCATGGGTTATGCATATATGCATATAAATTCTTATGTTAATCTCTCCCCGCCTTCCCTCTGAGATTCCTCAGTCTGTTCCATGCTCTGTCTCTGGATCTGTTTTGTTCATTGGTATATTTTGTTCATTAGATTCCACATATGAGTAAGATCATGTGACACTTCTCTTTCTCTGACTGGCTTATTTTGCTTAGCATAATACTCTCCAGGTACCAACATGCTGTCTTAAAGGGTAAGTAAAGGGTCCTTTCTTTTTATAGCTGCATAGTATTCCATTGTGTAAAATTCTGAGAAGATGCTTGATAAGATTTCGATCTTCTTGAACTTGTAGGGACTCGTTTTGTGTCCTAAAGTGTGGTCTATCTTTAAGAATATCCCATGTGCACTTGAGGAGAATGTATATTCTGCAGCTTTGGGGTGAAATGTTCTGTAAATGTCAATTAAATCCATCTGATCTAGTGTGTCATTTAGAGTCACTGTTTCCTTGTTGATGATTTGTCTGGAAGATCTATCCATTAAAGTCAGTGGGGTGTTAAAGTCCCCTACTATGACTGTATTGCTCTTGATCTCTCCTTGAAAGTCTTCCAGAAGTTTTTTGTTTTTTTCCAGCGTGTGTGTGTCTTTTCTTCTGAGGTGGGTCTCTTATAGATAGCATATAGTTGGGGTTTTGTTTTGTTTTTTTAAATTTATCTTTATTGTTGAAAGTATTATAGGTGTCCCATTTCCCCCCCCAATTGACCCCCTCCACCTTGTTCCCACCCCCTCCCCAGACCTTCACCCTGTTATTGTGTGTGTCCATGGGTTATCATATGTGAATATAACTTCTTTGGTTAATCTTTTTCCACCCTCCACCCCCCTTCCCTCTTTCCTCTGAAATATGATCGACTGTTGCATGCATCAATGTCTCTGGATCTATTTAGTTAGTCAGATTCTTTTGTTCATTAGCTTCTTCTTAAAGAAGACCCTTCAACATTTCATGTAGCACTGGTCTAGTGATGAACGAACTCCTTTAGCTTTTCCTTGTCTGAGAAGCTCTTTATCTGACCTTCAATTCTAAATGATAGCTTTGCTGGGAAGAGTAATCTTGGTTATAGGTCCTTGTTTTTCATCACTGAATATTTCTTGCCATTCCCTTCTGACCTGCAAGATTTCTGTTGAGAAATCAGGTGACAGTTGTATGGGTGCTCCCTTGTAGGTAACTAACTGCTTTTCTC